GATAAAGAGGAAAAAGACAAAAAAAAAAATCTATTTGTGAAGTAAACGTCCATTCAACAAATACTGTGGCCCAGTAAAGGCCCGTCGTGTAGTGCTGCCCACACGCTTCTTTCAACTGACTTAGAAAAGATCCCACAAAGAATTAAAATACGGAGGGCCAAACGCGAAGTGGAAGAGAAACTCAACCGGGATCACCACTGCCTAGGTGAGGAGAGAAGGCCTGTGGAAGGCGCGGGAAGTGGCGCACGACACTCGACGTCCCGGAGAGCTGTTACTGCTCCAGGGGCTCGAACCGGCTGGCGGTCGTGCAGAGAAGCGTTATCCTGCCGCCGGCCCGTTATAGCTATCGCCTCACTCAAGGTCCCGAGTTCCTCCAGCGGCCACTAAGCACAACTGGCCCCATGTGGGGCCGCCGCCACCCCAACTCCCGCCACTTTTCCCGACCCTCGGAAGCCGCTCGCCCGCTCGGCTCACTGACTCACCGCGACTCCCGGCCCATGCTGCCGGCTGCAGGAAAGCTTCACCCTCGGGAACGCCCAGGAAAACAGGACAAAGGAGGAGGCTACACTGCACTAGGGCGCCGGGCGAGGACCAGCACTAAGATACGATAGCACCTATAGCAGTAGCCGCCATCCCAGCGCCGCCAACGAAAACAGGACGTGCTCGCCCCGGCGGCAGAAGGAAGGAAACAGCCAGCCGGAAGCTGCTGCCTCCTCACAGCGCCCCCTGTCTCCAGGAGGGCGCGCGGCGCCGGCCGCGCCCAGAGAGACGGCTCGCGGGTTTTCCCGCCTGGGCAGAGCTGGTTGATGTGGCCACGGGTTGCAGACCTTGAAGGGCATCTGTTGCAGTCACCTAGTCATCCTGGGCAGCTTGCTGATGTGCCAAGGCACGCACTTATGCCCACCTCAATCTCCGACAAATAGTGCTACAAACTTCTCCGTACTATGCACTCTTGATTCATTAAAACATTCACTTATTTACTCGTGTGTTGTCTTATGCAGGGCATGTGCTAGATGTCCTAAGGGTTTACAGTTGTGAGTAAAACAAACTAACTGAAAACAAAAGAGGCTATTATAAAGTAAGGAGAGTCCACAGTCTAGAGAAGAGCTCCCTGAGGGTTCAGGTTTTGCAAGCAAGAGTTGTAAATCCTAGGAGTTAATCCAACGAAGAGAAGAGTTTAAAAATTCATTAGCAAAAAATTATAATAGTTCTCAGCATTGCCAGCACTGGGGAAGCTGGTGGGCTATGAGATGTCTGGCTTCCACTGATGGTCTAAAGAGCTGCTTCCATATTGATTTTTACCCCCACTAGGTAATCCGGAGGTCAAGAGCAAGAAAAAAGAATATCCTGGAACACCCACTGAAATGTTTTTGCAGAAAGCTAAAATGAAGTTAGGGAGAGGCTTTCACTTTTGTTAATATGCTTCTCTACTATTTTACTTTTTTTTATACCTAAAGGTGATAGAACAGTTCTCTATCTTGTGGCAGTCATTTCACGGATGCATAATTCGTTAAAAGTCATTTACACACATAGCAGGGCATGGTGGCACACACCTGTAATCCCAACATTTGGGAGGCTGATGCAGGAGGATTGTTTTGAGTTCAAGACCAGCCTGGGCTACAAAGTGAGCTCAAAGCCTGCCTGAACTGTATAGTGAGATCCTGTCTCAAAAAGACAAAAAAAAGAAAAAAGTTATTTACACTAAATTCGTGTGATTTAGTGTGTATAAAATTTTGCCTAAAGTTGATCTTGGGCTGGGCAAGGTGGTACACACTATAATCCCAGTACTTGAAAGACTGAGGTGGGATTGCTATGAGTTCAAAGCCAGCCTGGACTACATACTGAGTTAGACGCTCAGCCAGAACTACACAGCAAGACTGTCTCAAAAAAATGAATAAAAAATAAACAAAATTGGTATTTTAAAAACCCCACTTCAATAGCTGGATATGGTGGTAAACAACTGTAATCCCAGCACGTAGGAGGCTGAAGCAGGAGGATTGCTGTGCTTGAAGCCAGCCTGGGCTACACAGTGAGTTCAATGTCAAACCAAACTGCATATTGAGACCTTTCTCAAAAAGAAAAAAAAAAAAATTCAAAAAGAAGAGAAAGACCACTGATAAGAGTCAGGAAAAATGATCAGATTTTGAATGTGTTCTGGGGGCAACTCTCCAAACATGAATTGATGAACTGATTGTGAACTGAGGGAACAGGAAGAAGACAACTCCCAGGTTTTGAACACAGCCATTGCAGATTATGGTAAATGTGTGAATGTGTGAATAAATGCATGGGAAGCAAATCTGGGGTCAAGGGAGAAACAGTGGGAGAGAAATGGATTTAGTAGCAGTTAGTAGAATGCAGAATATGCTTGGTATTCACAGCCACGAACTGGATGAGGCCATGCAAAGTGAAGGCATTAACTAATTTTTGAATTAGGAATTTGAATATTGCCTGTCACAGAGTTAATGTTGCAGCTGAAACAGATTTTTAAATCGCATAAATGTCTTGATTTTAAGTAAAAATGCTGAGGCTCAGGAAAGACATTTAGTCCTAGACCACTACAACCAACAGGTAGGCCAGAGCTTGTGCCATACTTTCTCACTCTTCATTAGGTGAACCTATTAACAAGGATATTCTAAGTGGCATAGATACCTTGCCATGATATTCAAGTGGAGATTTCACAGCATTTCAGTGTCCTAGAAGCTGCTTTTAACTATTAGTACAGTCTCTCTGTCTCTGATATATTATCATCGGCAAACTGCCTTAGTTCTCAAAGCAGCAGGTTTTGATTCTAAGTTCTGAGTATGTGATAAATCTCTTGCTGTTTTTAGCATTAATGGTGATGCACACATGTCCATTTACACTGACTAAAATCCTCCGGAGGAACGGCTGAAGATATCGTCGGTAAATAACCAGATCTGTCATTCTAGTTTTAACTCATACTTTTCAGAATCTTGACATTTCTAAATATTTTAAAGATTGTTTTGAACATGAAAAAACTTCTATTTCCGTTAATATTATTTGATGAGGAAATTACTGGTGGATGCTTGTAAGTTGAAGGGAAAAAATGGTGTAAGTAGACACAGGTATTTTATAGGTCTTCCCTATAACATGTAAATTTGGTAATAACCTGCAATTACTAAAGCTTCACATGTATCAACTGGTAAAACAGGGATTTTAAGGAACAAAAGCATTAAAAATGTGCAATTAAACTCCACTAGTGTCCTCACAGGGATAAAGGGGAGAAGTAACACCTCTAGAGATCGTAATAGGTTGTTTTGTTTTCTTGAGAAAGGTCTCTGTATGCATTTCAGGTTGGTCTTGAACTCACTTTGTAACCCAGGCTGGGTTCTAACATGTAGCAATTGTCCTGCCTCAGCATCCTAAGTGCTAGGATTGCAGGCATGCACCACCATGCCTGGCCACTAGCTCTCTCTAGATAATTCATTATGAAATTAGAAAATGTACATGTTTAGCTGGGCGTGGTGGCTCACACCTGTAATTCCAACACTTGGGAGGCTGAGGTGGGAGGATCATTTCGAGTTTGACACCAGCCTGGGCTACAAAGTGAGCTCAAAGCCAGCCTGAACTGCATAGTGAGACCCTGTCTCCAAAAAAAAAAAAAAAAGTACACTTTGTAATCTTAATCTCAAAATCAAAGAAACAGATTTATATTCTTCATTATTCTATTTCAACATAAAATGACAAAAATCAAGACTTAGTCATGGGGCTGCAGATTTAGCTCAGCGGCATAAGCGCCTGCGTTGCAAGCAGGCAGTCATGAGTTCGATCCCTGGTAACAATAAAAATGAAAAAGACAAAAAAAAAAGACTTAGTTATAATAAAGAGTACACTACGTCCCAAGTTTAGGAACATTCAAGTTGCGGACTTAAACAGATACGAACAGACCTCACATTACAAACATTTCATAGAATCACAGAAGTAGCTTGTGTGGCTGCCAGACACTGTCACAGTTGTGCAGCTGTGTGCTTACTACACAGTGCAATAGTGCATGGTGGTGCAGTGCTCAATCAGAGCCCATGGTGTCCAGAAGCAAGGCGAAAAGCAGTGGTGATGTGAAGGGGATGCTCGGAGGTACAAAGCAGTACACACTGGAGATCTGCGTCAAGTGTGTGAGACTCACTTAGTTGGACTTACAAGAGGATCTGACTTATGTTCTGGAACAGAACTCATTGGCTAAGTTGCGGACTGACTGTATTTTTTTTTTTTTGGTCTTTTTCGTTTTTTATCGGTACCAGGGATCGAACTCACAACTGCCTGCTTGCAAGGCAGGCGCTTATGCCGCTGAGCTAAATCCCCAGCCCCGACTGACTGTATTTTTAACATCACACAGATTAACCAAATAGACACACAAAAGTCTGCAATGAAATATAAGGCTAAGAACACACCTTGAGTTTTGTATTTTTGAGAAGACAAACCTTCCAACTGTGACAGTTACTAAATTAGGAAAAAGGATATTTATGCTATTGCACTGCATGTCTTAATTATTCAGATCTTGATTTTAATCATTCTTTCCCAGTTTACTCTAAAAAAGTACTTCTAGGCATGCAGATATAGGTCAGTGGTAGAATGCATGAAGCCCTGAGTTTGTTGCAAACAAACAACATACTTCTAAACTTCTGATAACTGAAAACTCTGAACAGAATTTCCAGTCCTGATCATGGTGTGGTATATAGCCAACAAAATTGTTTTTTTTTTTTCTAGTACCGGGGATCAAACTCACGACCTTGTGCTTGCCAGGCAGGCACTTAAACTGTTGAGCTAAATCCCTGGCCCCCAACAAAAGTTTCAAATAGCTTCTGATTTCAAATGTACAACAGTGAGTGCTACGGACTGAATCCCTCAGCCTACATCTGCTAAGCTATACCCCGGGTCCCATATTTATGTTTCTTAATTATTTTTCCCATTAAATATTGTGCTGCCATAAAAATTAAAACTTAAAGAAAAGATTGTTTAAATTGTGCAGATTTAACATTAGACAATTCAGTTTCTTTCATTTTATTTTTAAGATGGTTTCAGTTCTCAGGACAGAATGATACAAATACAAGAAGCTATCCATAGAGATAGTTGAGACCATATTTATCTGCTCTTCTAAAATAGAGGAATACCAATCTGAGAAGTTAGAGGACAGATACAGACTATGGAGTCCAATGAAACAGGAAAAATCATCAATGACACTGGTACTCTGTTCTTCAGAGCAGTACTAATACAAACTCATCCCTTTTCATTCCTAGTAAAATAATGTTACAATTCCTACAAAGTAAAAGAAATACATAAAGATGTAAACCAATTTGCCTCCTTTAGGGACAATGCAATACAGAAGAAATTGGTTTTTATTAGCTTCTCTTTCTGAGTTTTGCATTACTTCATGGTACTTCGGAGCCCCAATAATCAAGCAGTTCATGACAAAAGATAAAAGTGAAAAAGTAGACACAAAGATCTGTGAAGACTTCTCCCATTTTGCTGTAAGTATCCATTGATCGATTAATCACTTCGGCAGGAATCCCAGACAGTAGAAGTGCAGCTGTTAGTACTGTAGTCTTTATCTTCTTTTCACCCTGTGTAGAAAAAAACTCAAATTAATGTGACAGCTTTTAGCAAACTATATGAGCTCTACAAAAATATGATTAATACTTTTATTTTTAATTGATTTCAAAATTATTATTATTATTTTTGTGTTTTTTCTATTTATCAGTACCAGGGATCGAACTCATGACTGCCTGCTTGCAAGGCAGGTGCTTATGCTGCTGAGCTAAATCTCCAGCCCCGATTTCAAAATTATTAACCACAGTATGTCAACATTCACCAAACACACAATAACAAGTACTTCAGTAGACTGTTAGGCCATAACACACAACATTCTTGCTACTAAGGTTTCAAAATGTGTCATCTTAGAAACAAGACAGGGCTAGGATATACAGCTCAGAGGTACAGCGCTTGCCTAGCAAGCATAAGGTCCTGAGTTTGATTCCCCATACAAAAAAAAAAAAATAGGAAAGACACAAACAAAACAAATACATTAATAATAATTTAAGATACAGATGATACTGTAAGACAAAAAACATTACTAGTTGGGAAAAGAACTACTAATAAATGACATGGACAATGCATGGTGTAGGGGCTTAAAGGAGATAGTAATGCTCCAGTGTTTTATATAAATAAAGCACAAAGAATGATTTTAGAGGCACTAGAAAACAGTACTTCAAGATACAGCAAGATTTAGAAAGACTAAAGTGAAAACAAAAATCAAGCCTGGCCCTATTGGAGAACAGTAATAACAGCATCATAGGAACATCCTGTAAGGTCCTAACTGCTCTTCAAAAAAAATTTGTATCTGATTACAAATACAACAGGGTATCACTGATCAGTTCCAAATATTTTTGGGGTTCTTGTTTTGGCAGCATATATACTAAAGCTGGAAGGATACAGAGAGGATTAGCATGGCCCCTGCACAAGGATGACAGAATACTTTTGGGAGTAGAGAGAGCATTTATTTCCTAATATATATAACTTTCTAGCCTTATTCTTTAAGAAATTCAAAGCTGTTTTAATTTATTGATTTGGTATCAAAAATTCACTCACATAGATCAGAAACTTAACAATATAAAAAGCTATGTCAAGCATGGTGTGTGCATGCTGTGCCAGCTACTTGAAAGGCTGAGGCAGAAGGATTGCTGCAAGTTTGAGTTCAGCCTGGGCTACAAGTGAGTTCAAAGCCAGCCTAAACTACATAGTGAGGTCCTGTCTCAAAAAAACCAAACCAAACTAAACCACACACACACACACACACACACACACATCAGTTTGGAAATGAGGCATGGTGGTTCACATCTTTAATTTTCAGCACTCTGGGAGGGTAACATAGGAGGATCACAAGTTTAAGCCTGGAGTGACTAACTATGCAATTTAGCAAGCCCCTGGCTCAAACTAAAAGCTAAATACAACAGGCTGGGGGAAGTAGTGTGAAGGCCCTGAGTTCAATCTCCATTAAAAAAATAAAAATTTTAAAAAGAGCAGCCTGACCCCCCCCCTCAAAAAAAGCAACCTGAACCCATTGCAAAAATGAAGGAATGAATATAAAAAGTTATAGTTAACTAAGAAATACGAAAGCCAATGTCGCTAAAGACTCATAGGAGTGATAAGTAGGTTTAGTCATAATAATCCAAAACTGAAAACAAGCAAGATATCCACCAACAGATTAGATAGATAGATATAATTATACATAGACATATTACTCGTCAAAAAAAGGAATCAAGGAGCGAGAGAGTTAGCTCAGCACTATGACTGCCTGGCAAGCACAAAGTCATGAGTTCGATCCCTGGTAACCCAAAAAAAAAAAAAAAAAAAAAAAAAAGGAATTGAGTATGAATACACTTAACATGGGTGAAGTTTTAAATATTACACAGGATAAAAAGACTTATACAAAAAAGTATAAAAAGGAGTAAATGAACTTATTTATATAAATTACTAAAATAACAAAGTAACCTAAGGTAGGGAAAAAATTAAGACCTTCGGGGTATAGGGGCTGGGAATCCCTGGAAAGGGTGACAACCAACCTTCCTGGGGTGACACCAAGTTCTAAATCTTGAAAGGGATTTGAGTTTCACCGGTTGCCATAACTTTCAAATGATACACCTAAGACTCAAGTGGTTCCACTATAAAAATTTAACCTTAACAATGACTTTTTAGCTAATGCTATGTTAGAGTTAAGTATACTGATATGCACATGTACAACATACTTCAAAATGCATCAACAGATAAGGTGGATTGAAAATGAATAAAAAAATCAGTATACACATGATATTACAATGAGACATTAACTGAAAACTTTAGGCAGTGCAGTGATACCTTGGTACTCCTTGTAAATTGTTAAGTACCAAAACCCACTAGTGCAAAACAAATAGTTCTGGCTAGAAGGGGTAGTGAATCATTAGGTGACTGACACTGGTAAGTTCTAGCTTCTGCTTCAATAACTACATAAACTGTAAGGACCAGGATGGGACAAAATTTTCACATCAAAATTCATGGAGTACCAAACTCAAGTCTTAAAACAATTCACTAAAAAGCGTTTACTATAGGTATAAATGGGTGTTGACCATACAATTTGTGTTGAAACAAATTTTGTTTTGTTTTGTTTTGAGCCAGTGTCTCAGGCCTGATCTTGCACTCATTATGTAGCTGCTGCGATTACAGGCATGTGCCACCATGCCTGACTTAAAACAAAATGTTCTGCTAAAAGTATGGGCTCCCTTTTCTTTTCCCCCTTTACATAATGTAACCCATACATATCCCTATCACAAATAACTATTATTCAAGTTTTATGTGTATCTTTGAGAGTTTCTTTATATGTATGTAAGTAAAATTATTCTTTTTCCTCCTTTTCATAAAAAAGGAATATACTAGATAGCCTATTTCTTTTTTTTTGGTTCTGGGTATGGAACTCACAATTGCACGGCTTATAAGGCAGGCACTTATGCTGCTGAGCTAAATCCCCAGCCCTAGGTAGCCTATTTATGAATTTTTTTATTTTACTGTTTCCTGAAGAGTTTATCATTATCAGTAATACATTTACTTTACTTACTATGGATTTTTAGTCTGCTTTCCAACTTTTGCCATTATAAGACTATAATTAATTTTTCAACAGTGAATTTCTTTTCTTTTTCTTCTTCTTTTTTTTTTTTTTTTTTTTTTTTTTTTTTGTGGTGGTGGTGGTGCAGGGAATTGAACCCAAGAATCTGCACTTGTTAGGCAAGTGGTCTACCAACTGAGATACATCCTCATCCAAAAGTGAATTTCTACACAAATGAAAATTAATTAAAAAGATACCTCTTGAGCTGGGGATTTAGCTCAGCAGCATAAGAACCTACCCTGCAAGCAGTCGGTCGTGAGTTCGATCCCTGGTACAGATTGAAAAAAAAAAAAAAGATACTTCTTTACTGTTGTTAATTTGTTTGCTTGTAGTATCAGGGAAATGAACCTATAGCTTTCATTAGCACTGAGTTACACCACCAGTTCTTTTTTTTTTGGTACCAGGGACTGAACTTATGACCTTGCACTTGCCAGGCAGGCGCTTATGCCTCTGAGCTAAATCCCCAGCCCACCAGTTCTTTTTTTTTAAGACAGAATCTGCTAAATTGCTTAACTTCCTAGACTGGGTTTAGACTTGAACTCCTCTCGCCTTAGCATCCAGAGTACTGGGATTACAGGCATGTGCCACCAAAACCAGCATGATGTATTGTTACTTTCTATATTTGATCAATTTGAACCTTCAATAATATGTTTCAAATACATTAAAACCACACACAGATCTATCAGCCCGTTAGGATAACAAAGGAGAGGGGTATAGGTCCTTGCACACATGGGATCCACAGCACCATCTAAAACTATGGCCCAAGTAGCCATTTTCCAGCAAAAACTCACATAAAATTTGATCACATAACTAAGGATATCTTTGATGTCAGGCAAGCTAAACCAAATAAGACTATTTATCAAGTAGACCAGATAAACACTGATTCTCACATCATTCTGTTCTGTAATTTTGGCTAAGTATTTTTTGTCCTAAATATAAAATACATTGCTATTATGTATCCAGTATGGGGCACAGTAAGATAAATTAATTTAAAGAATTAATCTCCTTTATTATAAGCAAAATGAATTACTAAATTTACTAAGCAAACTGAACATACTTTTTAGGTTAAGTACCATTCAAACTGTATAACAAAGGACCATATTTTCTCCTCAACAGCCAAGGGCCAACATTTTCATAAAATAAAATAAAAATGTAATGACAATGTCACATTTCATGAAAGTGACTACTCACTTTTTAAACTTAATGCATCATAAATATGAACAAATAACTTGAAGATTAGCATTAGCAGATGAACTATATTTTGGTTAGTGCTGATTCAGACCCTAAGTAGAAGTAATTTTTTAAGAGTTCTTAAAGTTAGCTAGTCATGAATCAGTTCAAATACATCATCACAATTTAGAAAAGATTTTAATTTACCTTAGGGAAATATTTGTATAGTCCCATGTACGCAAGTTGTAAAGTAAGAAATGGAGCAAATATGGACTGTGAAGACAGAAGATAAAATTAAATATTTCCAACATAATCATTCAAATCACAACAAGTCAAGCTAACACTAGCTATAAAAATCCAAGCAAAAAACCATAATTCTTTCTCAAGTCACATAATTCTTTTAAGTGTTTTCAGTTTCCCTAAAGTCTTCTCTTACAAAAATTGATCTTTAAGGCTAGAGTATTAAACAGTGATATAACACATTATGTAGTACTACTCCCCTCACCTAAATAAAAATAACTGACAACCTGAAGCATGCATAAAAGGACCAGCACTCAAAAGAGATGCCATACATTCCTCAGGCTGTGGGGTAAAAAATTAGGCAGCTATCATCTTGGGCCCTAACATAGTAAGTTAGCTATTCTAACCATATAAAATGGCTTGCTGATCTGATTTCTTAGACAAAAGGGAAAAGATCAAAATAACATATAATTTACATAATTATTTCTAAAGTTAATATTATGAAGGGAATAAAGGAGTAAAACTCATTAGATAGCAGTATAGTGCAGACAGGGAGAAATAAACAGTTGAAAATCTGATTGTAAAGAAAACCAGAAAATCCAAACAACAAAAAAATTTGTACAAAAATGAGGGACAAAAGTGAAAGGTAGCTTTAAAAACATGAAAGCATAGTCTTTTAGATAAAAAAGAAAAAGTGGGTATGCAGAATACTATACCTTAAAACCATTATTGATCTTTACTATAATATCAGTTTATCATTGAGAGCAGAACAAATCTATCGAACAGATTCTATTTAAGAAAACATTTGCATGAAAAATAGATTTTATAAAATTATTTTGCTTAATGATATAAATCTTAATTATTGGAAACTTTATGTGCCACAGTAGGTAGTCTTAAAATGTCTACTGAATGGAAATAGCGCAGAGTGACACTGAATGCTTTTTTGTATTCTTCCAAATAATGCAAACTAACAGCGCCATATCAAAAGTCATGATACAACATATAAAATGCTGAAAGATCTTTTGAACCATAAAAATATTATTTCATATTCAAGACTACAGTTTCATAAAAATTAGTTATACATATATATATATATATTTTTTTTTTTTTAAATAGGCATTTAATTCCTTGCTTCTGAAATGAAACTGTATGGGTTTAATCGCAGCCGTCACTTAATTGCTGTGTGACTTTAGGCAAATGATTTAACCTCTGAGTCTTCAGTCCTTCATTGATTCAAGTGATACAGTATGTAGTTTGTAAGGTTGAGAATTAAGTGAATATAAGCAAAACACTAAGAATGGTACTTGGCATTTAGAAAGACTTTAGGCTGCCATTCTATGACTATAAATAACGTTTACTATATACCTCCAAAGAGTCTAATGGATCTGATAGATATTAACACTGGCAATGAATTCTATGGATTAAAAATACTTGCTATTACAACCATTTTCCAAATTTAGTTAATAGTTTACATCTCTTTCCTTACCAAATATTTGCAAACAAAAGCTCTGACACCAAGAGCAAGAAGAGCACATCCCACCAATCTAAATATTCGAAAAGAGTCAAATTCCTCTGTTGTACTTCCATCCTCTTGATGGGGTTTTTCACTGATCAGTTGCTTCCGTAGCTTCATTGCTTCTTCGAATCTGGAAAGGTACTGTTCTAGGCCATGGTGAGGCCCCCTTTGGACAGTGTTCGCTGACAGGTCCCCTCTGTTCCGCTGCCGGAGCTCAAGGTTAACATCTGTACTACATTCTGGTGGTTTCATGAAAGAGTCCAACTTGTCTCCCAGCTGGGTCCCCTTTACCTCTGCCATGTCGCCTTGTGGGTCTGTTGTCCCTGTACTGACCGAATCACCCAGCACTACTCGTTTTGAAACTGAAGGAAGGTTGAGGGAGGTGAGTTTATCACTGTCCTGCTGCTTTGTTTTTGCTTGATTTTCTTCTTCTGAGAAAACAGAATTTTAAAGCCTTATGTTTTATACATTAGCAAACACCTTACTTGTTAATATTTTTAAAAATGCTACAACTAGACCTCGACAGTCTCCAAATCAAAATAAAAAGTAATTCCAAATAAAACAAAAACTACTTTCTCTAGCCCCTCAAAATATATCACCCCAAAACAGTATTCTAGCAAAGAAATAGCCAAACTTTGTGCATAAGAGATAAGACTAGAAAACAAACCGAGAAAGATACTCGCAGTTTGAAGCAAGCTGTAAAGACCAACTTTTCATGGGCAGTATTTCCCAGAACTATGACTGCATCGTTTGCACTCCAGAGCCATAACCACGGGTGTGGCATAGGCTCAACTACTGTTTATGTACTCAGCCATCATCAATAAGTACTTAAGTAGTTTCATGATGCTATTAAGAAAATGACTTTATAGATGAACCTTTCAAAGCAAAAAACACAAAATACAGACAGTACCTCATAAAGATAAAAATGAGAGAAAAATCCTGATACTATTAAAGGAAAAAAATTCTATTGTATTAAAAGATGTTGAAAACGACGTTCTTACCTCCTCGCTTTAACTATCTAGAAGCTCAGAGCTATGTATTTAACACCTCACAGAAGTCAGGTAGACTTAAGGACTAAAGATCAATTACTGAAGGAAACATTCAAATGGAAACCACTTAACACGAGGGCATACTAAATGTTCAATTATATTCACATAAAACAGATTTTATTAGACATGTCTTTGGACAAGCAATGAACACTCCTTTAGTGTTAAATGCAGTTCCCCAAATGAATAGAGATTTCAGGTAGTCATAGGAAATCTCAGGTGGGTATGTTGCACTGGTAGGATCTATAAAGAATGATCACTTCTGTTTTTTCACTTCTCCTACAAGGTGCATAGGTGAGTGCTGAGGGCATGAAACACTGATACCAAGATGTGAACATTAAGAATTCCTGATCGACGTAGGACTGACAAGCGGCCAATTCAGTAAAGGCAAGCTGGGGTAAGTGGACAAGCATCGTACAGCAAACGTAAAAGAAGGTGGGCAGCAGGTTAAGTGCTGGAAGGAAAACCACCTGAACAGGTGGAAAGGAAAACAATCTTCCCGAGGGGCAGTCTGGGGATAAAATATGAGCCCTTCGTGTAAAACGAGAGGATAGGAAAGGAAGATACGGGCCATCTCAGAATAACTGGGCAGAGGGACTCAGGAGCAAAGACTTGTAGCCCGGGTGGGGACAATCTGAGGGCGAGACTGTTCTAGGGTTACGGAGCAGTAAACGCGAGGCATCACGGGGGTGGGGTGCCCCAGCGTGGGGCAGGGTCAGGGCTTGGTCAAAAGGGTCAGCGGCACAAGTGGTAGGGGAGAGGTTAATGACTCCCGAAGACTCGAAGGGATTGTGGGAAGAGTGGGGGGAAACTGAGGCTCTCACCCGCGCCGCTCCCGGGCCTGTGAAAGCCCATGATTCGGTTGATGCGTTGTTCTGAGTTCATGAGCAGCTTTCTCCGCCGTAGCTCGGCCCGACGTTGGGAAGCCGAGAGGCCCGACCCAGACGGGGCTCCCGGTCTATCCCCGACCTCAGAAGACACGGCCACGGGATCCATCCTCCTCTCCACAGCCCACGGGCAGTGACGGTGACGGAGGTGATAGCTGTAGAGATGGTGGGAGCGCGGGTGACTTAAGACCCAGCTGTCTACCACGTGACAACCCCCTGCCCCCGCCCACTGGAGCACCCGCCCCTCGAGCGCAGAGCCGGCGATTGCGGACTGAGCACGTGTGCGCAGCCCGGCGCGACCGCGCGCACGGCTCTGGCGCCATGTTGAAAGAGGGCAACTCAGGCTCCCAGGGCTCTCAGCACTCTCACCAGCTGTCACTACTCCCCGTGTCTGCCACTAGTCTGCTCTGACGTTACTCAGAGAGGAAGAGAATCAGTACGCAGACCAACTGGTGGGAAAAGGATGCCCATGAAAAGATTCATCTTGTATTGATGCCAGGAAGCAAAATGGAGGTAGCTGTGGCCTCGCTCGATGAGCGGAGGAAATACGTAGCAGAGAGCGACTGGAGCGTTGCGCAGGGATTTGTTCGAGGTGTTGGTTTTTATCCTAGCTACGGGTCTTCTAAATGAGTGTGTGGTTTCTTTTCAGGCGTTCCTTACATCTTTATTCAAGAGATTGTCCCCAGTGAAGCATTTCTTGTGTTCATTTTGTCAAAAATTACCAACATTACTTATTTTTATCTTACACAGTAGTAACTACCTTGGATGCTAAACGTACTCATTTTCTTTATTGTCCGTGTCACGAACTGCAGTGCCAACTCCAAGAAATCAAGTACTATGTTTTGTTCATTGTTGAGATTCTTAGAACAGTGTGGGCTGAACTAAAGACGGACAAAGATCTTCAGATCAATAGAGACGGTTTATTTTTTAGTCACACAACACGAAATGCTAAGGGACCCTGGGACCCACGGAGATATTTCAGTTTTGGTTTTTCTCATAATGCCAGAAGAACTTGTATTAGTAATCATTGTATAATGATAAACCCAATCTGTTTCATTTGATTATGGTTATTACCAGTGGTCAGTCATAAAATATACTTCCATTACTTCCATAATGGAAGTCACCAAAAGTACCTGAGGAAAAGGCCCTGATAGTCAAGTCACACATGAGGCTGCAGTTGAAGCAACGTACTGGCCTCTTTGCAAGGAAACATACAATCACACCAAAGATGAGGAAGTTTGCTGGAGCATAGTGATGCAGCCTCTAATCCCAGCTACTATTCTGGATGCTGATACAGGTGGATCACTGGTTCTAGGCCAGCCTGGCAAAAAAAATTCAGTGAGACCCTATCTGAAAAATATGAATTGAAAAAAAAAAAACTGTTTAGGGATGCTGATAAGATTGAACACCCTGAGTTTCATAACCAATACTGAAAAGGGAGAGGGGATGAAATGGGGGAGGGGAGATTTAACTCTGGGGTCAGTGCTCAGTACTGAAAAACAAACAAAAATCAGGAAGCTAGGTCTGGACTCAGTGTTAGGGATTGTCTATTAGTCTGATCCCCAGCACTGAAATCATTATCATCATCATCATCATCATTATTTTAGAAATTAAAAATATAGTTATATAAATATAAAATTAAATTAGCCTGGGCACACTCAAGAAATAATTAATAAAAATAAACAGCTAATGTGACTTCTGAGATTTAAAAAATAGGGGGTGCCGGGTGTGGTGGCATAGACCTGTAATCCCAGCACTTGGGAATCTAAAACAGGAGGATCCCTGTGAATTTAAGACCAGCTTGGGCTACAAAGTGAGCTCAAGGATAGCCTGAACTGCATAGGGAGATTCTGTCTCAAAAAAACAAACAAACAAAATGTAGGGGATGATAGAGAAACACATATTTGAAAAGAAAGTAGGAATTTTCTGTAATTAAAAACAAGCAAGGATCTTCAGATTAGTGGTCTCTGAGTAACAAGTTAAGCAGTAAGTGCAGGGGAATAAAACTATAGAACATTTAAGGATAAAAGAAAAAAACTTTAAAAACTGACAGTGAATATCTTCAAATGAACAATCAGTGGACTTACAGGTGCCTTATAGTTGGGTTGGTTTGGTTTGCTTCAGTTTTTGAGACAGGGTCTTGCTGTGCAGATCAGTTTGGCCTTGAACTCATTATGCAGTCCAGGCCGGCCTCAAACTGAAGGCAATCCTCCTGCCTTAGGCTCAGCCTAACAAGGGCTGGGGTTACAGCATTGCACCAGCAAGCAGAGCTACAGGACATGTGTTAGGAATAATTATTTTAGGAGTAGATGTGCTGCAAGTGAACAACGAATGGAAAAGTGTCTTAACAATATCAAGGAAAAAAGATCACCTAAAATCTGGAACTCCAAACTCAGTTATCCTTGAGGGTAAGCATTGAGAATTCAGTTTATGATCATTCAGATACATACTTAGGAGATTTAAAGTATCTCCAGATGTAGTTTCTCATTGACTTAACTTTGATGCTCAGCATAACACTACCAGTGGTTGGCAATTTGTTTGTATCACTCTAACCAGTCACTATATATAAGTTCTTTCAATTAACTTTAATGAATCCCCACACTAATAAGTTAACACAAACCATACAATTGTTTGCAACTAACTTTTTACAGGACTAAAACAGTGAAAATTACAAACTGTAAAAAGAAAACAAATCTTATCTCTCACATTTTAGGGAAGCAAAATTTAATACAATACAGTAAGTTCAAAATATATTCGAAATTGAAAGCAAAAATTTAGTGTTACAATATTAAACACTACTTTACAAAATTAAATTTTCTGTATAAAATTATATTTGTATTAGTTAAAATCTTGAAATCACATTTGGTAGCTGTTATGCATGTTTGATTATAAGACATAAATATTTTATTATAGTTTTTTTTTTTTTTTGGAACTGAGTATCATCAGGACCTTGAGCTTGCCAGGCAGGTGCTGTGCTGCTGTGCTATATCCCTGGCCTTATTTGGTTTTTGGTAATCTGCTAGATTTAATACATTAAATTAAAAACAATGAAATTACATGCAGACTAAATGGTACTGTTTCAGTGAATACTAGTATGTCAAACTTTAAAAGTGTTATTTTTAAAATTCTAGAAAATTTTTATGATAGAATTGCTAAACTCAGCTATATATAGGATATACATATTTCTAATGTTTTATTACTTTAGTAATTATAGATATATAGAAAGTTAAAATTTTTTTCATAATATACAGTATGATTTTTCAGTGGCAGACGATAAATAGGTCAAACAATAATGAAATCTGATACAGTAGATAGTGATTTACTTCCAAAAAATGAAAAACACTCAATATTTCAAAAAATAATTGTTTTATAGCAAAGTCCTCAAAAGGTTCATAATTCTCTTACCATCTAGAGAACAAATATTGTGAATCCTAACTAAAATTAGTTTTAATAACCCATTGCGCAATTATTCTGGAGGGCACATGTTACAAAATATGGTAAAATACCTTTTAAAAATAAGTTTGCGAAATACGTTACCAAATCATTTCCCTCTAGAAAAGATAAGAATCTTACTGCTAACAGACTTGAGGCTGGGAGTGTTGGTCAGTGGTGGAGCACTTGCCTAACTTCTACATTCTGGATTCTATTCCCAGAACCTCAAGAAAAGGAAACAAAAGTAAAGAACAGGACTTAGAAATATTGCTATTTAAAGTAACATTAAGAAGAAAATGAAGTTCTATAATAGGGCATTGTGACACCTGCCTGTAATCCCAGAACTCTGGGAGGCTGAGGCAGGAGAATCACAAATTTGATCCCAGCTTGGGCAATAGCAAGACCCTGACTCAAAATAAAATTAGGAGAGAAGGTGGGGAGGTGACTCAGTGTGAGGGTCCTGGGTTCAATCCCTAGTATGTAGGGAGTGGAGATACTTCAATATATAATGACTTTCTTGAAGGAGGAAAAGCATAAATTTAATTTACTACCATTTGAAAATTGCTTCGTAATAAATGAAATAGCTTTCAAGAAAACAGACAGTTCCATGTGCCACATACACACTAAAACAAATCCTGACACTGTTTAAGGGAGATGATATTTTCATAAAACAACTATTCTGACCCAACTGGCAAATAGAGACTTACTTCTTCCTTACACCAAGGCAGTCAATTAAAGTCAGCCCATGTATATACAATGTGAAAATTACTATTTCCTTGGTGACTTTGTAAGACCAAAACTGTAAACAAATTTTCTAAGTTATTAAAGCAATAAACAGCTTTTTATTAAGTATTATACATGAATATCTTTTAAGAAGTTTATATAAGACAAAATAAATCTCTAGAAAATTAGCCAAACTTTTAAAAATATACCACAGTACTTTATTTACCTATTTGTAAACAATATTCATTCCATAGTTTGCCTGTCATATTTTTGTGCCTCTTGAGCATGTTCAGAAATCAAGTTTGTTTCATAACTTCAATATATTGTATTTGCATGATCTTAATATTGACTAAAGCAAACAGAGGTATTCATGCTTAGTAGGTCTTCTTGGATCTGGTGAGAGGTTTTTTGTTTTGGGGTTTATTTTTGGTAAATAAACCCAAATTACCCAATTTTGGTAAATTGAACCCATGGCCTCATAAATGTTAGTTAATAGGTTGTAATATCACAGAATAAATATTTTTATGAGTGACTTTCAACTTCATTATTAAATTTCTTTTTTTTTTGGTGCCAGGGATGGAACTCACGAACTCACCCTTGCCAGGCAGGTTGTTTATGCCACTGAGCTAAATCCATAGCCCCTTAAATTCCTTTTAAAAATGCTACTCATGCATTGGAGATAGCATCTCAGAAACCTTTAACTTCATTCATTCTCATTTCATCAAATTAACATTTTTATTATATATCACAGAGTAGCTATGTATCAAGGGAAAACCTCACAGGATCTAGTATTTCTGATCACCCTGTTATCATTGCCAGTCCCAAAATATTTATAAAAACAGCTTAAATTCTTTTCATTGAAAAATAAAGTAGTAGGTCCAAGTCTTCTGTTGCCCAGTCAGGAAATCAAAATTCGATAAATTTATAGCTTTCTCAAATTAGAATGAAGGTAGCTGGCTCTATTTTATTTACTATAATGATTTTTCTTCTTCGGAGAAAAAAAAACTGGGTATAGGGAATAAATTGTAGTTTTTCTACATTCTATTTCATTTTGAATCTTCCAATTTAAAAAAT